AATGGAAAGAAAAAGCCCAAAAAAAAAAAAAAAAAAAGACTTTTTAGGGCAATTAAATCCCAAACAAATTAGAAGCGAAGTTATTTCTGATATTCCTTAGATCGTCTGAACAAACCTGCAGTGTCAAATCTCCTTGTTCTTCACTATGAAACATTAAGGAGCTCTAAAAGCACTGTGCAGTTATGCATACATGCAAGCTGCCATCTTTAGAAACACGTGTCAAAAGCAGCGTATTGTGGGAACACTGGTTAAGGTCTAATACTCTATTTAGTAAAATGTAATTGTAAGACTAATTGTTTTAAATATAGTAATTAAATTTAGACCGCAAACAGTAATTAAGTGCACTGCATTTAAACGTTTAATTTAATTTAATTCCAGCGCAGCGTTTAATTTTATGTAGTGCAAAAGAGCGGGGACTTTTATTTTGGAATGTAGGTCAACTGTCGAAAGTAAGTGCCGAGTCTTTGCTCTGACCTGACGGACCAAGAAGTTTTGGCTGCTGGAAAGGTTCGTGTTCGGAAGAGAGAGAAAGCACGAATGACGAACAAGTGCGGTTAAATATTACACGAATGTCTGTGAAATTATCACCGGGGTGTTAACTCACAGATAGTACATTATTGAATGAGAGGCCAAGCACCTTCGATAGTAGCAATCTAGCTCGCTGCTATCTGGATCGAAGTCGCTTTTATTCAGACTCGGTTTTGTAGGACTTCAACCGAACTTTAACCAGGGATGGACGACCCAACAGTACTGGAGATTTGGATGTGATTAGAATAACGACTAAAAGCGGGGTTTTCAGTGGTCAGATGTGGCTGCTGGGACTGGAGACGGGAAACGTGTCACTGATAAAGCGGCTGAGGCTGAAGTTAGCGCCTCAGCGGTGACATCTATCCATTCAGCCCGATCCGCCCCACAGGGGGAGTCCATCCAGCGTAGGATTGTATTTACCCTAAACTTCACTGCCCGGTGATTTTAACACTTCTTAAACCCCTCTGGTGTTTTGTCAAGATGGGTTCGTTGTTTCGGAGTGAGGAGATGTATCTGGCCCAGCTCTTTCTGCACTCCGGGTCCGCTTACGACTGCATCAGTGAACTCGGCGAACTCGGGCTGGCGGAGTTCAGAGACGTAAGTCGGTGAATGTTTTGTTTGTGTATTTCTTGTTTGAAAAATTGACTTGGCTTGTGCTGAGCTGACAGCCTCACACCCGTTGGCTATCGGTGTGACACATAGTTTGGCCCGTGCACCTGCCTCTATTGGCAAAAAATGCTGTCGAGCTATACTCCGCACACCAGGTTTTCATAGACCACCCATATAATGCCCTAAAGCAAGTGAACCTGTCTTTTAATCAATGGAAATGTCTACATTTTAATTGACGTCATTCATTTGTTGGAATAACATAAGTGTTTAATTCACATCAACTGATGGTGTTTTTCAAAAATGCATTGTTTAGCACACTTTGCACCAATGCTATTTATACTCTTAAGTCATTAATAAACATAGCTTTATACAAAGTTTAACTGTAAATCTTAGAAATGTCGTGAAACATTCATATTTCAATTTCTTTCTAAATTATTATTATTATTAACATATTTTAATTACATGAAATACTATAAAAGTTATTGTATTGAATGTATTAGTTTTTTTTCAGCTTAACCCAAGTGTGAACTCTTTTCAGCGAAAGTTTGTCAGTGAAATCAAGAGATGTGAAGAGATGGAGAGGATTCTGGGTAAAAACTTTGCAGTTAAATTTTTCTTCTAAAAAATTCTTATTTAAATTGATAGAGCTAAGAAAGCGTCTCAATACTTTAGATGGTTGAGTTATAACCAAAAACAGTAGTAGTATTACTAGTAGAAAATGTGTTAAGCAAAAGAAAAGATAACTTTTTTTTTAAATATTTGTGAATGAGTGATGAGCAGGATCATTATAGGTAATTTACTTTTTATAGAGTTCTAAATAGTACATTCAACTGAGTTAATTCAGTATAGTGTTAACATTGATATGTTGTGAAGGCACTTGATCAGTGCAGAGAAACGGGCATTAATGCCTGAATATCTTCCAAAGTAAATGAACAGAAACTGTTCTCAAAAGTGAACTTTTTATAGTAAAGACTCGGCACTTACTTTCGACAGTTGACCTACATTCCAAAATAAAAGTCCCCGCTCTTTTGCACTACATAAAATTAAACGCTGCGCTGGAATTAAATTAAATTAAACGTTTAAATGCAGTGCACTTAATTACTGTTTGCGGTCTAAATTTAAAAATTTCACTCAAAGTGGACTTGTATAACAGGATATCTTCTGAGGGAAATTAAAAAAGAAGACATCCCACTGCCAGAAGAGGAGGTGAACCCAGCTGCACCATTACCCAAACATGTGATGGTCATAATGGTGAGTTCAGCACTGTTCATTTGTTTAGCTCTTGTGATTAGTTGATCTTTCAGTCGCATTCAAATGTAATTTCTGGTCTGCATTCTCACTGCTAGTTGCCTAGTTTCTGCTTCTGCTTCTTGATTATTACTGTTTTCTTTCTTTTATGGCTGCTTAAGGCATAGGTGCCATTCAAGACGTTTTGTTTCATTTCAATCTTAGCTGAAGTATCCACCTTATTCCTAATGAGCCTACTAAGTTTTGAATTGTGGGTGGCACTTCCGGTTTGGGGAACTTCCATTCAAAAAGACTGAAACAAATAATTTCAAATCATAAGGTTGCCCTACAAATAAAGCTTATCCGTCTGTTTGACTGAATGAGCTGTCGATTTTTCCTTCATGTTTTATTTTCAGACATCATGAGAATAACATAACTCTTGGTATTTTAACGTGACATGTTATAACAAGAATATCTATGGCAAGAGCTCTTGTTGCAGCATTCTTTTCCTTATGATTATTTTATTTTTTCCCTTTGCATTCTGCTGTAATAGTATGAAAAGGGACAACATATACTGCACATTTGTGGTGTGTTCTCCCGATTTAATTTACGATATACCATTAAAGGGATAGTTCATCCAAAAATGAAAATTAGCCAATTGATGGCAGTGAATGGTGCTCCTGTTTTGGAAGCTGAAAAAAGTGCATCCATCCATCATAAAACTACTTCAGACGAATCTAATCGGAGTTATATTAAAAATTGTCCTGGGCTCTTCCAAGCTGTATAATGGCAGTGAATGGTGCCCCTGTTTTTGAAGCTGAAAAAAGTGCATCCATCCATCATAAATCTACTCCACACGGCTCCGGGGTGTTAATAAAGGCCTTCTGAAGCGAAACGATGCGTTAGTGTAAGAAAAGTAATGATTTTTAAAAATGTATAAACTAATCTCCAGCTTCCGGTCGCTCAAGCAGGCACGCTCACGACAAGGCTTTCGAGCATATGACGTAGGTGTAGCGGAAGGTGCGACGTAAGCTCCGGGGAGAGAGTGTAGTCTGGCGAGAACCAAGTTTTGTTTACAGCACAGGGAAACCACGTGAACTACATCTGTAGTTTGTGCCACCGCCGCTGCGGCCTCCTCATCTCGCAGAGTTCCTGTGGTCGGTATACTCTGGTGTAGTCTCGCGAGAACCTTTTTGTTTACAGCACAGGGAAACCAATCTGTAGTACATCTGTGTGCCGCCACTGTTGCAGCCTCCTCCATCTCGTGGAGTTCCTTGTCGGTATACTCTGGTTCAAACAAATATGGCTGGGCAAAAAACTCATTCTCCTCTTGCCTTATATCGAAATACTTTGACGTTTTTGCTTTCTCCTCTGTGCTTCCGCATTCGTCACTCTCCCCAGAGCTTACGTCGCACCTTCTGCTACGCCTACGTCATACGCTCGAAAGCAGGCGCGTTCACAACAAGGCTTGAGCGACCGGAAGCTGGAGATTGCGGTTTATACATTTTTAAAAATCGTTATTTTTCTTACACTAAGGCGTCGTTTCGCTTCCGAAGGCCTTTATTAACACCCCGGAGCCGTGTAATAAGCCGCGCTTTTGGGGTTATTCATGGTCTGTTGAAAGTACATTGTTTATGCTTTTACACTTTTAAATGTAATTTTAATGTTTGATGGTTGAAGGGTGAGTAGAATAATCTCATTCATAAAAATGTAAACAAAAAACAAAACAAAAAAATAATTATTGCGAATTAGAATAAATTTTTAATTATTGAATTAAAAAGTAATTTGCGTTCATAGAGCGAGCCTTTCACTGATTGTTTACAGTTTAATGGAAGTTACGCCTATAATTCGCACAAAGCATCATGGGGCGTCGGAATAAGGTGGATAAAGATATACATTTTTACTAGGGCTGCACGATAAATCGCATGCGATATTTAA